GTCCCAATTGTACCCAGCGATATGGAATTCAAAAACATCCCAAGGACCTACCTCCTGAAGTATCATGGCAGGGTGAAAACTTGAAAACGTCGCAATTTTCATTCGAGACCACGTCGGGTTTTGAGTCTTCTGGGTTTCGGGTTAATCGCTTTAGAAGCTCGCAAGGTTTTGGAAAAATCTTGCGACCCTCCGCCTGCACCTAAACCCTAAACCCTAAACCCTAAACCCTAAACCCTAAACCCGAAACCCGAAACCCTGAACCCTAAGTTGCTGCTGCATGGCTGCTCCTCCAGACGAAGCTGCAATGTTAGGCACTCGGCGCGAACTGGCCTTCTCAGGGTGAGGGGGCTTTCGGGCTCAGCGGTTCAGTGGTTTAAGCTTTTTGAGCCACCCCGACACCCTAAACCCTAAACCCTAAACCCTAAACCCTAAATCCTGAGCTTGCAGTGTTCGAGCAGGCTCGGGGATTCAACTCTACGATAGAACCCTCAATTCGAACGGATCATTGGGTATGGCTTGAGGTTTAGGGTTTAGGGTTTGGCGCTTAGGGTTTAGGGTTTAAGGTTCGAGCTTGGGGGTTTAAGGTTTAGGGCTTAGTGTTTAGGGTGTTGGATTTAGTTTCCTAGGTGATCTTGACTTGTTGAAATTATAACATGTCGATCCGAACCCTGAATCCTGCACCCTTTTGCCTGCGGATTCAACATAATCCATCAGCGCCGTGGAACGGATTCAATCCAAATAAGTCCCTTGTGTGAATGCCCGGGATCGCGGCAATTGGAATTTTGGGTTTCGAGTTGAGGGATTTAAGGGTTTAGGATTTCTAAACCCTATAAACCCTAAACCCCAAAACCGTCCAAGGGCTAAGGGATCAGGGCTTAAGGTCTCGGGTTCAGGTCGCGAGATCACAGAAACATATACTGTCGGGTTTAGGGTTTAAAGAGTTTGGGATTTGGAGTTTGGTGTGCAGGGGTTTAGGGTTCTGGGGTGTAGGGTTTAGGGTAAAAAAATGGGGGGTTGGGGCTGTAGGGTTTATTGTTTAGGGGCCACCATACACCACCCGAGGATCCTATACGAGGCATTCTCCAAGGACTATACCCTTATATCCTGCGCCACCCGGGGACCTAGCAGGTACAAAGCATGAAGTGCACGTAAACCTAAAGGGTTGGTGAAAGTGCAGAAATACGGATCAACAGTAGGGTTTGGGGATGCAGTGGTTTGAGGATTTGCATAGGGCTTAGGGTCGGGTTGGGAGTATTGTACCGGGCTTGGCTACACTACGATTCTCGTACTAACACACTCGTGCGTTAAGGTATCCTCAAGCAGTATACTAGATTCCAGAATGCATAGCATGCATCAGTAGCCGGAGGGCCAAACTTCTGCACACGTATTGTCATGTTCTCTTCAATGCACAGTCTGGTTGACACTACTAGAAGGATGGTAGGTCGCAGTACCCTGGGCCCTAAACCCTAGACCCGAAACCCTAGTCAGCAGTTACTGAGTAATAGGGTTATGATGCAGGACCGAGCTAGCGCCCTCAAGCCTTTAACCCAAAAACTCTAAATTCTTAGTGGCCTCAATCCTAGTCCCCAAACCCTATACAAACCCTCAAACCACCAAATCCCCAAATCCTATTAATGCACTTTTGCGCCCTAAAGCCCTAAACCCTAAAACCTTAGACCCCTGAATACCTCAGACCGATCCGACGTTCCTAGCAGGGTTGTTTTAGGGTTTAGGGAATTTAGGGTTTAGGGTAACCCTAAACCCTAAACCCTAAACCCTCAAGTTCCCAGAGCCGGAAGGGACTCCAGGAAAGCTACTGCTCAGCTAACGCGCGAGGCATGGAAAAGCGGACGCCAGCGGAGAATTCCCAACGCCCCCGCCACCCCACACACCCTAAGGGTTTAGGGTTTAGGGTTTAGGGTTTAGGGTTTAGGGTTTAGGGTTTAGGGTTTAGCTTGGGCCCTAAAGCTGCTAAATAGGAACCCCTTTGAGGCCTAAGTATGTACTATATAGGTACATGGACCCTTTGGGACATAATCCCACAGGTTTCGCCACTCCACACGGAATCCTGTAGGTTTCGGGTTTAGGACTCTAGCGTTTTCCAGGGCTTCGGGCTCAAGATTAAGAGTTGGGCTTAGGCTTGACAACTCTTAGCGCCAAAGAAGAGTACCCTGAACCTCCACCACTCCTAAACTTTGAAGCCGGCTGGGCCCCAGGAGCCTAAAGCCTAGACCCTAAGCCGCGTAGCCCTACCTGAAACTTACAGAACTGGAGTTTTTTAGGGCCATCCCCTCCATTTGGGGGCGAACATAACACCCACGAAAGTAGGTTCCACATGGGGTCCAGGCTTGGCCTAAATCCTAAACCCTAAACCCTAAACCCGAAACCCTAAACCCGAAACCCCTAACCCTAAACCCGAAACCCTACCAAGCCTCAGGTGCGTTGAGGACTCCTCTCTTGGGTCTTAGATATTGCATGGGTTTGCGGGTTTGGGATTTGGGGATTCATATAGGGGTCGGAATAATTACTAATGGTATTCCCATATGGTGCCTATATATATATATGTATACCATAATTACCCCCCAAAATCCGATTCGAATTGACTGGGGCCCTTAGTATGCGGCCTTGTTTTCGAGAGCCCGCTTGTACCCCTTATACAACCCGAGGAAAAAAGGGCCCATACTTCAGAATCGCAAGGGACCACGGTAAGGGACCATGGTAAGGGACCATGGCCTGGCCGTTAGACCTCGGAACAATCCATCCCCCAAGTAGCCCTAGGTTCGGGATATCACAAACCCCAAAACCCTAAACCCCTAAACCCCTATGAATTTCCTTCGGCCCCGAAACCCTCAGACCCCTAAACCCTAAACCCTAAGCCCTAAACCCTGAACCCGACATCTTGAGAATCTCACACGGTGCAGTCTTCCGCTTAGCGGAACTGCTTGCATCCGCTGCCTCGCCAACTCGAGCCGGTCAAGCTGCGCAACAAAACAGGGTTTAGGGTTTAGGGTTTAGGGTTTAGGGTTTAGGGTTTAGGGTTTAGGGTTTAGGGTTTAGGGTTTAGGGTTTAGGGTTTAGGGTTTAGGGTTTAGGGTTTAGGGTTTAGGGTTTAGGGTTTAGGGTTTAGGGTTTAGGGTTTAGGGTTTAGGGTTTAGGGTTTAGGGTTTAGGGTTTAGGGTTGGAAAAATGTAGTACAGCATAGAACAGAAAGCATAGTGAGGATTTGCTACTCCTACAGTCTAGTTTCGCATAGTCAAGGATGGTGTGATCAATTGAAGGCAAAACGGTCTTGCCGCTTACTTCTAGCATCCCGTCCGAACCCTAAACCCTGAACATTAAGCCCTGAGCCCTAAACCCTGAACCAACCCTGAACCCTAAACCCTAAACCCTAAACTAAAACCTAAACCCTAAACCCTTACGACTTCACATCCAAAGATCGCAGGGTTGCCCACCCAGCTGTGCGAAACCAGCCGGCCCGCCGGGAACGTGGAAAACGCCGAGTTGCAGCGTGCGGAAAGGAACGAACATCTTGGTACCCCAGTAACCATATTATAACCCTAAACCCTAAACCCTAAGCCCTAAACCCTAAACCCTAAGCCCTAAACCCTAAGCCCTGAACCCTAAACCCTGTCATAAGGGTACCTTTTTGGGCTTGTTACTCTGTAAGGATACCTTGCCCAGAAAAACGTACAGGGTTCCACTGGGCTTCAGGATCCCCTCCGGGCTTGCCTAAAGGCTCCTATGTAGCACCTTTTTTGAGGGGAAGTGTGCTGGGTTCAGGGTTTAGGGTTTAGGGTTTAGGGTTTAGGGTTGAGGGTTGAGGGTTGAGGGTTGAGGGTTGAGGGTTTAGGGTTTAGGGTTTGGTAATTTTGGAGCAAGTATGCTGGGTTTAGGGTTTAAGGTTTATGGTTTATGGGGGGAAGCTGCGAACCTTAACCCTGTGTGTGACGTAAGGGGGTCCTCAATTTGGGGTCCTTGCATCAGAAGCATTTGGCTGGCTGTTACTACTTCTAGGGCTTAGGGTTTTCGGACTGCTGCTGCACTGCTGCTGCCACTACTTAAAGGGGTTTATATTGGAACCGAAACCCCCAAAAAGGGAATAAGGGTACTACTGGGCATCCTACTGCTACTAGCACCAACAAGACAGACTAAGGCACAACGGTTGTGGCTTTCTAGTGCTGGAACAATGATCCAGTTGAAGGTTCTAGGGCAAGGGCCTTGGATCACACAGTTCTTAGGGAAACCGTAATTGATGGGCGTATTTCTGCAGGCTAAGAGTATATAGGACGAGCCCTAACTTCAAGAGATGATCGTATATATAAGAATATGCTGCAGGGAGCATACGATACTATGCTGTAAGTCACAGAAGTTATGGTACAAAACTACACCAGAGTACCCTAAACCCTAAACCCTAAACCCTAAACCCTAAACCCTAAACCCTAGAAGAGTCTACCATAGCACACCCATGCTCACTCCTCGCGCGCCGAGGGGTGAACCTGCGCCGCAAGCCACATCGCAGCCACCGTGGCTGCCGAAAGGGCCCAGGTAGGGCAGCCACTCACGGCGCCCGTATTCCTCGGGTATAGGGACTATAGGGTTTAGGGTTTAGGGGGTTTGGGGTTTAGGGTTTGGGGTTTAGGATTTAGGGTTTGGGGGGTTCGGGTTTTAGGGTTTAGGGTTTGGGGTTTAGGGTTTAGGGTTTGGGGGGGTTCGGGTTTAGGGTTTAGGGTTTGGGGTTTAGGGTTTAGGGTTTGGGGGGGTTCGGGTTTAGGGTTTAGGGTTTGGGGTTTAGGGTTTAGGGTTTGGGGTTTGGGGTTTAGGGCTTGGGGTTTAGGTTTAGGGTTTAGGATGAATGCACACACAGAAAGAGACCACTCGTGAACGATCTGAAACGCTGTGATGAGCACGAGGATTGACATATTGAAACCCTACCATAGCTTTTGCCGTCCTAAACAACTCAAACAAAAAAGAGCTTCTTCCTGCCCCGTAGGTTCATGCGGTCAACTCCAGCGCCACCAGAAGAGGCAGTCGTAGTCGTGGTGGTTGTCGTAGTCGTGGCGTTCGCCTCCGCTTGGGTGCTGGTGGCTGCACCTGACCAAAGGCTCGACGACATCTAAGGGCGAAAGTGTTCATAAACCCGAAACCAAACCCAAACCTCCAAACCCTAAACCCCTAAACCCCTAAACCCCTAAACCCCTAAACCCCTAAACCCCTAAACCCCTAAACCTCTAAACCCCTAAACCCCTAAACCCCTAAACCCCTAAACCCCTAAACCCCTAAAACCCCCCCTAAACCCCTAAACCCTTCAACCCTACATATCTGAGGCGTGCACCCTTCTGTAGTTCCATCATGGCCATTTAGGGTTTAGGGTTCAGGGTATAGCTTCTCGGGTATAGGGTTTAGGATTATGCTAGGTATAATATGACGAATGGCAACAATAGTGGCAACTGACAAGGCATGTCGTAACAAAACCCTAAGCCCTAAACGGCCGCCTTGACCTTGCTAATTCTGATATTCCTGACCCCTAAACCCTAAACAGCAAAAGAGCAACTTAACAACCCCTAAACCCTAAACCCTAAACCCTAAACCCTAAACCCTAAGCCCTAAGCCCTAAGCCCTAAGCCCTAAGCCCTAAGCCCTAAACCCTAAATCCTAAACCCACACAGGGCGTGAGAAAGGTGTGCAGGTTGGTCATGGTTCTTTAGCGTCTGCGGGGGAGGGGGGGGGGGGGGGGTTAGGGTTTACGGTTTAGGGCTTAGGGGAGGGGGGGGGGGGGTTAGGGTTTACGGTTTAGGGCTTAGGGACCCACAGTTACTTGGCCGAGCTAAATGCGCAATCCTGCGGTGTCCTACCTCTAAACAGTGTTAAAGACACTTGAATGCCACCAGCGCATCACCTGATTTCGTCCCGCAAAGGCTTGGCGCAACATTCTAAATTGCAGTATCTCCCAATCGGCGAACATCCAAACAGCTACTCAACCCATGTAGCATACAACACGCTAAGCCCAGAAGCCGAAAACCTAAACCCCAAACCCCCTGTGTAGACCTTCACTACACCCCAGCCTGTAAAACTTTCAAAAACCCTAAACCCTAAACCCTACACCCTAAACCCTGAACCCCTTTTTGCAAGATTGGCCTTCGGATCCGGCTGCGCCGCCGCTAGGGCTGTCAGGAGGGCAGGCTCCTGATGGTTTAGGGTTTAGGGTTTAGGGTTTAGGGTTTAGGGTTTAGGGTTTAGGGTTTAGGGTTTAGGGTTTAGGGTACCATGCAATGAACTCTTGGGCCAGCAGTGATTCTTTAGTACAAGAATGAAGATTTCACGGGCCTTGACAAGGGACCAAATCTACGGTTGTGTTTACTGTTTCCCCTTAAGTGTGTATACCATACGTACACTCAAAAGCCTACGAATCACACAACGTAGCGCGCTTTGCGTTAGGGCCTAGGGGACCCCCTTAACAGTGAGCACACAGGCTGGATGATTTCCGCATTATGGGACGGCCCATTTCAGCTGTGCAAGAAGTAGAAGAACATGTCATGCCCAGAATCACGCCCCTGGGGTCACCCCCCCCCCCCCACCCTCTGCCCTTTTCGTCCCACCAAGGAGTAGAGGATTTAGGGTTCCTTCTACAGCTCAGGGGTTCGGGTTTAGGGGGAAGTTTAGAGTTTAGGATCCTTTTCCTGCGGAGGAACCCGGAAGATACGGGTGTACTGCTGTGCAAACCGAGCTTCCATCATACCTCTGCCGAAAGACTGTGACCTCGGTTCAGCCCACGATCATTGACTCTCTGAAACCCGAAACCCTAACCCCCAAAACCCTAAACCCTAAACCCTAGTAAATAAGCAGAATGCCCCGACTTGGAGGCAGGGAGCTTCACAAGAACTCAAGACAAGAATGAGACGTATCCCCAAGCTGGGGTCATCCTAGCAAGAGCCTCAAACATACAACCTAGCTGTGATTCAACCCTAAACCCTCAACTGAGTTGTTCTTTAAACCTTTTGAAATTATTTATGAATAGGTTCCCTTATAAGGAAAGAAGTGAAATTAAAAAGTATCCCAAAGCACAACCCAGTAAACCGTGAAACCACCCGACATCCGGTCAGTACGTGGTGCAGTTCCACGGGCTCTGTTGCGGCTCCCTTGATTGGCCCTTGATGCAGAAAGTTCCCTGAGCCCTAAGCCCTAAACCCCCAAAACCGCAAGTACTCAAAGCGACTTACGAGGCGGGGCCGCCTTACTATACTAACTGTAGATCGGGGACTTATCACCTAAGCTAGAATCCTTACTGCCCAATTTAAGATCCTTGTAACTCGACTTCTGACTTCCCTATAAACCTGAAAGTATCACCACAGCTCACCTTGCCAACGGCAGAAAAAACCTGCAATGCAACCGCAAGGTTCCTCATAGAAGGGCAAGGGTTTGGGGGGGTTGAGGTTTGGGGCTTAGGGGATCTCAGGGGTTTAAGCTCGAGATTAGGGTTCGGGTTTGAGGGAGTTGAGTTTTGAGGCTTAGGGCTGCGGGATTTAGAGTGCGAGATTATGGTGTAGAGCGTCTTAGGGTTTAGGGTTTAGGGTTTAGGGTTTAGGGTTCAGGGGTGAACCCCCGCCTTGCCCCTGTCACAGGGAATTTGGCCATACAGGAAGAACGTGATGCAGCACAAGCAGGGCTGTTTTGGGTTTAGGGCTTAGGGCTTAGGGCTTAGGGCTTGGGGCTTGGGGCTTAGGGCTTAGGGACAAGTATCACTTTGACTGGGTCTTAAAGGGTGTATTAGTAAGCTGATGAGGAATTCTGAAGAAAGGGGACCTGCTATTCACGGGGCGCCCTTGTAAACCCGTATAGGATTGCACCTACGCAACAAGGCGGACCCAAAACAATTGCAAAACCCTGTACCCGCAGACCCCAACCCCCCCCCCCCCCCCAAAAAAAAAAAAAAAAAAACGAACAAAATGACAATAAAAATTGTTGTCACAGCTAGTGGCCTCTCGTTGGTCTGCGGGCACGCGGTACTCGTGAACCCCATGCGTGACGGAGCCTATCTCACAGCTCTTGAGGAAGTCCACCAGAGCCTGACGCGCAAGACTATGCGATGTTGTAGTTGAATTTACATTATGTTGAACCCTCAAACTCCCATGTAAGTTTCAGATATCCATTCCAAGATACCTGCTCCGTCTCATTGTAGCCACGGTTGTCTTCCACACTGCATCGGCCACACGTCAGTGGGCAGTACCTTGACTTACGGAACCAGCCAAGGGAGCAATTGCTCTTGCCAAGAGTGTAGGGTTAAGGGTTTATGAGGGTTTACGATTTAGGGCTTAGGGTTTTCAAAACCATGATGGGAACATGATGCTGAACATGACTGTTGTGATGGCAGGTCGCCGCTCGATGGCACATGCCAGCTACCCTATATCGATGTCCGGTTGTTGATACCCGCTTGGGAACCATTCGAAGGCTGAAAGAGTTCTTAATGATTTTATGTCAGGCAGCAACTGAGCCCTCTCGCACAAACTCACAAGGCCCCTGCATTCTGCATCTACTCCTGTGATGAAGCACAATTTCTTGTGTAAGCCACGCTTGGGCATGGACCTGCAAATCACTCTTAAGGTCTTAGGCTAGTTACATGGTCCCTTAGTATGGGGCCTGGAACGGGGACCCCTTGTCTACCCCTGAGATCAGAACCCTTTAAGGGAGGCAAGGGACCATATTAAGGGCCCGTGAAACTACCCTTAGATAACCCCTAAACCCTAAACCCTAAACCCTAAACCCTAAACCTAAACCCTAAACCCTAGACCCTAAACCCTAAACCCTAAACCCTAAACCCAGTAACTACCCTTAGAAAGCAGCAGACACCATACAGGGCCGAGGCGCTGGGCCGTGGAGCTGCAAAAATGCGGAACTTCGTGGCACAAGGCAGCCCGACAGGTCGGATCGCACCTCGTGGGGCCGTAGCCCGTGCCGCCACCTGGTTTAGGGTTTAGAGGGTTTAGAGGGTTTATGGGGTTTATAGGGTTTATGGGGTTTATAGGGTTTATGGGGTTTATAGGGTTTATAGGGTTTATAGGGTTTATAGGGTTTATAGGGTTTATAGGGTTTATAGGGTTTATAGGGTTTATAGGGTTTAGGGTTTAGGGCTAAGGTTTAGGGTTTAGGGTTTAGGGTTTAGGGTTTAGGGTTTAGGGTTTAGGGGCTAGCTCAGGGTTTCAAGAGGCCTAGCAAGGGGACCCACACATTTCGCAAGCTTAATTCAACCCAAAATCTGGCCCTAAACCCCTCAAAACTCTGAGGCCTGATATAACCTCTAAGCGCTGGTTAGCGTGGCTACCGGAAAGAAGACCTTCTGACTCCTAAGCCCTAAACCCGAAACCCAAACCCCGAACCCTAAACACCAAACCCTAAACCCCAAACCCTAAACCCGGGCCACCTGCATCCACGGAATCGAAACACGTGTCCGGGTTGGGGGGAAAGGGCTGGAAGCAAGGGTCATCTCTGGGGAGCTCCACAGACGACGAGACGAGCACGATCTCCTGGTCGGATATAGGGCTGCAGGGAGTTTAGGTTGTAAAAGTTTAGGGTTTAGGGTTTAGTGTTTAGGGTTTAGGGTTTAGGGTTAGGGAGGGTAGGGTTTAGGGAGTTTGGGGGCCGACAGGGCTTAGGGCATCCCTGCCCTGCAAGATCTCCTCTGGGACCTCCACCGATTTCGCGCACTCGACCTCGCAAATCTTCCACCGCTTGATGGTGGTGCCCCTGCCAGCGTAGATGATGGCACACCCATCGATCACGCGAGGCGCATCACCTCCGCAGGGGGGGATGCTTCGAGCTCCACCGTTTCTACGACTGCTATGGAAGCAGATGCCCAGAAGGGTGCGAAATAGGGCACCCTAGCTCCCCTCTGAGTTCAAGTATACACAGTATACTAACAGTATTATAACCCTAAACCAAAAAACCCTCCTCAACCCTAAAACCCTACATACTGCAAGAAGACGCGTCGGGAACACTGCAATATAGGCATTTCCCAAAAGAAGGGGCACCCCTTCTATGCCCCAAAATAGAATAGAACCCCTTTGCCCCGTCAACCCTAAACCCTAAACCCTGAACCCTAAACCCAATTTTCGGAAACCCCCCCATCGCCTTGCGGTGTGATGAGGCCTCCCTCCATGGACCACAAGGGCTTGACGATGCTGACACTGTCATCGATGATCATAAACCTAGAGTGGAGTTCGAGGCTCTTGCCCTAAACCCTAAGCCCTAAACCCTAAACCCTAAACCCTAAACCATAAGAGTTCTCGAAGCTCTGACCCTAAACCCTAAACCCTAAACCCTAAACCCCAAACCCTAAACCCTAAACCCCAAACGCTCAACCCCAAACCCTAACCCTAAACCCTGAACCCTATGAGAGGAGCCTTCACCGAGAGCTGCGTAACAGCTTGAAGAGCCAAGAAAACAAGTACAGGGTCTTAAACGTGCTGGCTTTGAATGCCTTCCTAAACCATAAACCCTAAACCCAAAACCAAAATCCCTAAACCCTAGACCCTAAACCCTAAATCCTAAACCCGGCAATCAAACATCAACTAAGCAAGGTCAATGGACTCCGATCTTATGATCTGCTCACGCCAGTCGCTCGACCTGTCCTTGGCTGCTCTTAGCAGGGTAGCTATAAACTAAACTTTTAGCTGCCTTGTCTCTTAACCCAATAAACCCAAAAAGGCTACAGATGTAAAGTTACAGTACTTTTTGCTGCCTTAATAAGAAACCCAATAAACCCAAAAAGGCTAAAGATGTAAAGTTACCGTAAAGCAACACAAAGTGTCCAGTAACCTAGGCTTAAAAAGGGTACCCTTTTTTGCTTAAAGGGGTTTATAAGGGAACCTAAAACCCCCAAAAAGGGAATAAGCGTACTACTGGGCATCCTAGTGTCATACCAGTCCGCCGTGACGACGCTGATGCAGAAGTCGACGTCGTGGGCAATCTCTCGGCAGTCAGCCTGGCGATAGAGGACTTTTAGGGTTTAGGGTAATTGTTAAGGGTTTTGGGTTTATAGGGTTTGAGCCTGGCAGCTTAGGAACTTCGAGAGCTTAGGGCTTAGGGTTTGGGGTTTGACATGGAACCCCCTAAACCCTAAACCCTAAACCCTAAACCCTAGGCCGAAAACTGTTTGGGACTGTTCAGCCTCCGTCATGGGCCTCGACAGCCACTGCTCCCACATGAGGAGGATTCGGTTCGGGGCCAGGCGCACGCTCTTCGGCTTGTTCCTCGGAAATCTAATTTAGGGTTTAAGGTTTAGGGTTCCTCGGACATTTAACAGGTTTGTGCAGTTTCTCGGTTCTTGGCCTTTTGCAGATTAGGGCAAAAACACCAGGAAAATACTGGACCCTAAACCCTACTTTTTTCACCAAAGGGACATGCAAAGTCCAAATAGAGTCAAAACAAGTACTGATGTCCAAACAAGATGCATGATGAGCCACTTGTGCTCATAGTTCCTTAGCGACCCCCTACACCCTAAACCCTAAACCCTAAACCCTAAACCCTAAACCCTAAACCCTAAACCCTAAACCCTAAACCCTAAACCGTGTAGAAAGGGGACATGGCGCTGCCTTTCCACTTTGGGGTCCTTTTAGGGTTTAGGGCTGTGGTTCTCTCCGAGGCCCCAAAGGGAAACAATTTTAGCCTGAAAGTAACACCCTCCGGGCTGCAAGCATTCAAGCTGACTAAACCCCAAACCCCAAACCCCAAACCCCAAACCCCAAACCCTAAACCCCCTAAGCCCTAAACCCTAAACCCTACACTCCACTTAAAGGAAAAGCACGTTTGGAGCCCCCCCGGTGGGGAACATATCTCACATTTGCACCCAAAGTCGTCAGGTACCCCTAAACCCTAAACCCTAAACCCTAAACCCTAAACCCTAAACCCTGACTAAACCCTAAACCCTAAACCCTAAACCCCCTTAGTGATTTGCATCCAAAGTCGTGAGCCAGTTGATGCCATGGTGTGACTGCGCCGTCCACTCGCCGCGGAAGCCGTAGAACCCGCCCGTTTCAGTTGGTCCGCTGGAGAGCACCTGTGAAGTGGGGGTTAGGGTTTAGGGTTTAAGGTTTGGGGTTCAGGGTGGAAAAGCAGGTATGGCCAGGTATGGCACCAAAAGCGATGGAAAGAGGAAGGCATTTAATATCACAACATAAGATGAAGTGTATGCAGGAGTGTAACACAATGCACCCTCAGCTGCCCCTAAACCCTGAACCCTAAACCCGAAGCGCTAAACCCCAAACCCCAAACCCCAAACCCTAAACCCTAAACCCTAAACCCTAAACCCATGACAACTTGGAGTCTGCGAGAAAACCGGCGCACTCTGTACTCTGAGTGCTGGATCTTCCTTGGGCACCTGCTTCGCAGCGATGTTCTTGCCAATCTTCACCCAGCCCAAGTTGCCTAGGGTTTAGGGTTTGGGGTTTAGGGTTTGGGGTTAGGGTTTGGGGTTTAGGGTTTGGGGTGTGAGGTTTGGGGTTTCGGGTCTCGTGTTGATTCGGCTGTGCTCTGCAGTCAAGTAGCTAAGCGTAAGGCAGTTGCAAACCCCTTGACGAACCCAAGCGACAGTTTAAGATGAGATATGGGGGGGGGGGGGTTTAACGCGAAACTGGGGTACCCGAATATACCCCCAGATACTCTAATCATCCTTATTCTGGGACCCCCCAAAAAAGGGTACCCCTATACTTTCGGAAACCCCCCTATGCACAAAGCCAGGCTTGGGACTTCATGCCTTGGCGGGTCAGTCGGCCACGTTGCGGGGGGATTGCACGGTCTCCTCGTGGTTCTCCATGGCGCTGCTGTCCAGTGGGGGTCGCTCTCCCGAGAAGAAGATGAGGTAGCCTGAAGAAGGAGCACTTAGGGTGTCGGGTGAAGGGTTTCGGGGTTAGGAGCACTTAGCTGTCCAGTATCCTAGGGGGGGTTACAGGCTAACATTACGGGATTCAATCGGGAATATGATGTGGTGCCTGCTCCTCTACTGCTACTAGGATCATCATCAGAATCACAAGGTTAGTTAAAATTTATGATGTAAGCTTCTCATGAGAAGCATAGCCATCAGTACTGAAGGTCCATGTACCTGTGTAGTATACACTTGGGCCTTAAAAGGGGTTACCATATTGTAGCTTTAGGGCCCCAGTACATACTATATAGTCCCGTATGGTAGTAGTGACCAAGCTAACCCTACGTCATAGTAGTCGTCGCCTCTGTGCTCTATTGCGACAACAAGCAACAACAAAAGATGGCACGACAGTTAGGGATTTCGGGATCCCTAAACCCTAAACCCTAAACCCTAAACCCTAAACCCCAAACCCCAAACCCCAAACCCTAAACCCTAACCCCAAACCCTAGTCGGGAGACAGTAAGGACGCCGGAAAGCCCCGGAACAAAGTTAACAAAACAACATCCATGTTAGGTTTCTTCAGGGAGGGGGGTTCATGAGGGGGGGGGGGGGGGGGGGTAGGTACTTAGTAAGCCTTAGGGAAGCTTAGGGAGCCTTAGGGAGTAGTAGGGAGTATTAGGGAACCTTGGGTTACCCGAAACCCTAAACCCTAAACCCTAAACCTTAAACCCTAAACCCTACCCCCTTGAACCCCTTCCCCTAAGAACCCTATACATCCAAGGTGGCCATCTCCGACCTCCACGATCCCTGGCTGAGCCAGGACAGTGTAGACCTGGGGGGGAGGTTATACCCAACAGGGTTTAGGGTTTAGGGTTTAGGGTTTAGGGTTTAGGGTTTAGGGTTTAGGGTTTAGGGTTTAGGGTTTAGGGTAGCTAAGACTGTGAGAGATACAGTTTCGACAGGAGTTCTACGCCATGATGTGGGACTCCATACCATTGTGCTTGCTGCTAGACGTTCATCTCGTGCCTATAAGAACCGGCTGTTTCATAGCTACTGGATCTCTCATTCTCCGTGGCAGACTCCTACGGTACAGACGGTGTATACCCTAAATCCCAGACCTCGAAATACCCTAAACCCTAGACTGCAGCTTAGGATTTAGGTTTTAGGCTTTAATTTAGGGTTAAGGGTTCCCACCCAAAACCCCATAGAACGACATAACCATATAGCAAGAGATCGTGAAGGCTTCAGAAAGTCGACCATTCAACACTGTGATGCGCCACAAAGCGCAGCCGGCGCGGGCCTTTCCACCTTCAGAGAAAAACATTCATGAACACATCCTCCCTCCCAAAATTCCTACCCTAAACCACTATGTTCCTTCGCCTGGTTGTCATTGCTCCATTTGTAGAAGGTGTTGCCGTTCACGGAGATCTCCGGAAAGGCAGGAAAGCTGCTGCCAGCCGGGTTCCTCAACATGTCAAAATAAGGTTCGGGCTTAGGGTTTAGGACTTAGGCTGAAGAAACTTGGGTTTCAGTTTAGGGTTTAGGGTTTAGGGTTTAGGGTGTAGGGTTTAGGGTGTAGGGTCTAGGGTTTAGGGTTTAGGGATTAGGGCGCCCGGGCGCCCCCAAAAGCCGAGACTTAGCCTTAACCTTAGAGTGCAGGGATTACGAAACTCAAAGGACGCGACCCCTGAACCCAAGAGCACCGGAACCCAAACCCTAAAAAAATGGGGAATGAGGGTCTCCTCTGGGTCCTAGACCCTTCAAACAAAGCATACCAGAATGGAAGGACGGAACGCCTTCAAACCCAGAAACTGACAGGTTCAAGCTTTTGGGCTTAAGGCTTAGAGCGCAAGAAAGTAGTAAGATTACAGGTCAAGCTTATATAGTGTATTTAGCGTTTAGGGTTTAGGGTCTAGGGTTTCGGGTTTAGGGTTTGAGCTACCGGCGAATTTGTGAGCAAGGCGCTGTGGCCCGGAACCATGGCGCGTCTTGAACATGTAGGGCGTGAAGCCCAACTCCTTCAAGTCTCTGTTTAAGGTTTAATTAGCGTTTTAGGGTCTAGGGTTTCAGGTTTAGGGTTTAGGGTGAAACTGCTGAATGTCCAGGATTTAATGTTTGTGGTTCCATGGCTGACTCCACAGGGTTTAAGGTTTAGGGCTTAGAGCTCAGGGTTTGAGATACTGTTACGACAACGACTACAACCACCGACGACGACCACGGCGGCGACGACGGCTACTACTACTACTACTACTACTACTAATAATAATAATAATAATAATAATAATTACTACTAATTACTACTAATTACTACTAATTACTACTAATTACTACTAATTACTACTACTACTACTACTACTACTACTACTACTACTACTACTACTACTACTACTACTACTACTACTACTACTACTACTACTACTACTACTACTACTACTACTACTACTACTACTACTACTACTACTACTACTACTTACTACTACTACTACTACTACTACTACTACTACTACTACTACTACTACTACTACTACTACTACTACTACTACTACTACTACTACTACTACTACTACTACTACTACCTACTACTACTACTACTACTCTCTCATCAACTACTGGCCTTGTTGTTTGCGTCCATCTTGATCACCTGCAAGCCCCGGGGGGAGCCATCATCCAGCTCCAAGCCGATGAAGCCGCCGGTAGGATCCGCAATCATGGAATTCCTGGAAGTCAGTGGAATACGGTTTTGGGTTTAGGGTTTAACGTTTAGGGCTTAGGGTTTAGGGTTTAGGGTTTTGGGTTTAAAGTTTATTGCGTAGGGTTTAGGCTTAGGTTGTAGGCTGTAGGGATGAAGTAAGGTTTACGTAACAAAAGTAGCTTACTGTTTCAAACAGTAGTGACCGGAACCATAATGACAGTACCATGATATGGGATGGAGCTGAGGGCTGTGTTTTGAAGGGTTTAGGGCTTTAGGGGTCTAGAGGCTAGGCTATTGGCTCATTTTTGATTGGGGTTTGGGGGTTTTAGGGGTTCTAGGGTCAAATTGTGTATGTTCATAATGCAACATTCTCAGGAAAGTAAGATTCGGGATGCCTTCTTAAGTGGCTGCAGGAGCCTTTTGTCTGCATGTGTAGATGTTTTGGGGTTTAGGGTCCAGGGTTTGGTGGAACAAGCGAGCTGGTGTCAAATCGGTGCCGTCCGCCGGCTGTCGACTTTCGAGCCACTTTGATGCAAAAAAAACGCCGCAGGGCGGCAGCGTGACCGCCACCAGCTGTGCCCCAGTTTGGAGCACCAGCTGGTGAAGTTCCTTCCGGCAAGTCGGCACGGAGCCTCTGCAACTCATCAGCATGCTGCCCCCCCTCGCTGCGTAGCTTCGTGAGCTCCCTTGGATAGTTCGTAGCTCGAATTCATTAAAAACCATGTCCTGCGCAATGACAGCTGTTTCGGGCATAGGGCTGTGGGGCGCAAGGTGAGAGGGTTTAGGGTCTAGCTCTAGAAGTTGCACCCAACTTCTTCGGGGCTTAGGATTTAGGGTGCAGTTCAAGGGGTTAAAGACTCGCAACCCTGAGGTTGTACCCCCTAAAGGTTTCCCTTAATTGTAGTACCCTAGGAATCGTTAAAAGGATCCTCAAACCCAAGGGTACCACCTTAGGGTCCACGGTAAAGTCCCTTGAGTATTGGGTTCACTCCACCCTGCACGAATTCTTACTACTTACTGAAGTGTTTGCTAACCCCAAAACCTAAACCCTAACCCTAAACCTAAACACCCACCTTTGCCACAATGGACTCTTTGTAGTCGCTTAGGTGCCGGGGTCCTGGAGCATCACCCGAAACCAGTGCAAACCCTGCATGGCATCACGGAAGACCATCTCAACCACAAAAACAAAACCCCGAAGCCCCTAAGCCCCCAAGCCCTAAAGCCCTAGAGCCCTAAACTGCCCTAACCCTAAACCCTAAACCCTAAACCCTAAATCCTAAACCCCAAACCCCAAAAAGCCCTAAACCCTAAGCCCTACGCCTCGGTGATGCACTTCTCAACCAGGGCTCTGAAAGGAGTGGCTGCCCGTCTGATAGTGCCCAGCTCCTGTAATCCTTGGAGCGGCGAAAGTAGCGTGAGGATGGCCCCTTCTTTGGGGTTTAGGGTTTAGGGTTTAGGGTTTAGGGTTTCGGGTTTCGGGTTTAGGGTAAACACTCTGAAAAATCTTCCTAAACCTGATCCTCTTAAACCCAAGCAAGGGAAATCTAAAATGTCCCAAGAACCTACCTGGGGGGGTAAGGGGCTCTTGGATTTCTATTTGGAGGTCCAAGGCGTATAGGGTTGAGGTTGAAGGCCCTGAGCTGGCAGGCACCCTAAACATCTAAACCTTAAACCCTACGGGTTAAGGGTTTCTGGGGTTTAGGGTTTAGGGTTTAGGGCTTAGGGTTTAGGGTTTAGGGTTTAGGGTTTAGGGTTTAGGGTTTAGGGTTTAGGGTTTAGGGTTTAGGGTTTAGGGTTTAGGGGCTTAACATGCAAGGGCCGAGGAAACACCTCAAAATCCCAAAGCTCCCGGGCAGTGGCCTTGGAAAGACACAAACACCCTGGATTGAGCCACCAACACCCAAGCCAGAGCTTGTATAGTGAACTCCAGGACCCCTGGAAGGGACCCTTCATCTTTTTCCCCTGTTTAACCCCTATATATACACCTTATAGAGTCCCTATATACCTGAGGAGCCCCTAGATAACCCTTAGGTAACCCCTAAGGTCGAAAAAGTTGGAACCTCCTTATCCCCACACCCTAAAAGGTATACTAAAGGGACCCAAGCTCCAATCATCCTTAAACCATCTAGGCTGCCCAGTAACCAAGGCTTAAAAAGGGTGCCCTTTTTTGCTTAAAGGGGCTTATAAGGGAGCCTAAACCCCCCAAAAAGGGAGTAAGGGTACTACTGGGCATCCTAGCCATGTTCCAACTTTCTGGAGTTCACTGTAGGGTTTGGGGCTCAGTGCTTTGGGTTCAGGCTTCGGGTTCTAGGGGCTTTCTCAGGCTCTACCAGCGCAAGGTAGTGTGTGTGTGTGTATATGTGTTGACTGCATACAGTGATTCAAGTGCCTGGTCATTTGCCAGAATTCGATACAGCCTACTACAATCTGCTATCATACCATGCTCACCCGCCCTAAGGGTTACGGGACTTATAAATCTTTAGAACCCTAAGCCCTAACCCTAAACCCTGAACCCTAAACCCACTTTAGGGCCCTTCTAACCCTACTTATGACTCGGGGGCCCCTCCTTGTACAGTAGGGCCTGCGCCACAGGCCAAGTGTCTCCATCCGGTCGACATCAAAAACGAAGCCCAGGCCACGCTGATGATTCAAGCCATCAGAGGAACGGAACCTAGGGAAGTTTGAGGGCTCAAGTTAGGGTTTAGGGTTTAGGCTTTAGGCTTAGAGTTTAGGGTTGCGAGCTTTGTCTGTGGCTGAAATCAAGATGTGACATTGCATAGAGAAGGCAACCTATACTTCCGTATCGTAGAAAGGTGGTGTACCCTGCACGATCGTACACTAGACTGAGTGTACTAAGGCATGTGGGATGCTCTCTGCTATAGTCAAGTAAAGTGATGTATACCCTCAACCCTAACCCCAAACTCTAAACCCTAAACCCTACGCTGTGAGAACTGAGACTGAACCTCTTAGTTTGGACAGAACTTTGGACGTTCCCCCTTATACTAACAGTCCTTAGTAGGGGGGGTACAATCAGCCCGATTAAGGACAGTCAGTTTAAGGGGGAACATCCCAATTGAGAACCCTCAAATCGGCCTTTCTACCCACAAGGCTTATGTCAAAAAAAAAAGTGGCCTTGTGGGGCCTCCGGCTTCCTAAGACCCTGAGCCCTGAGCCTTTTCGGTTTGTTTGTGTAGGGTTTAGGGTTCAGGGTTCGGCGTAGGATTTTGGGTTTAGGGTTTAAGGCTTAGGCTTTTTGGGGTGGAGATCGAACTCGAGGTCACCGAACTCTCACGTAAAGAAGTAAGTCATGTAGATGGATGGAGGAAGCCGAACATTAAGGGGCTCCCACTTGGGGGCCCCTCCCTAAACCTAAACCCTTTACCCTTAAGGGTGGTATAAAGAGACTCGGAGACTCCCAAAATGATACGCAAGTGCTGCAGATCCCCCCCGGTTTAGGGTTTAGGGTTTAGGGTTTAGGGTTTAGGCTCCCCCCCCCATACCAGCTCCATGGAGGCTCAGGACTACTGCCACCACTCCGGTCTAAACCCTAAACCCTAAACCCTAAACCCTAAATCGGACAAGGAGCATGCGGTGGGAGAGGTAGACGCCCACATTGTTGTTGATGGGGTCGTAGCGCAGCGCTGCCGTGTTCTCCGTGAAATCATTCAGAGACATGGATGAGCTGGGTAGCTCTCGACGGAACTGCACCTCGAATGTCTGGGACATCCCATCTGTTCGAGGTCAGTTCAACTCTCGACTGCATTGTGCAGGCAGAACCTGAAGACCCTAAACCCTAAACCCTAAACCCTAAACCCTAAACCCTAAACCCTAAACCCTAACCCTAAACCCTAAACCCTAAACCCTAAACCCCAAACCCTAAACCCTAAACCCTAAACCCCAAACCCTAAACCCTAAACCCCAAACTGTGCCCGTAATTAAACCCTAAAGTCCTAAACCGCCTCAAAGCCTCAACCTTCGGAGACGAGGCTCTTTGTTCCGAAGCGTATCCCAGTGGACCATCCAAGCTTGACAGGGATCCGTGGGACCAACCTTGGCAGCTCAGCAACCAGCCCGAAGGGCCCATGTACCTATATATATATATATATATATATATAGTTTAGGGTTTAGGGTTTAGGGTTTAGGGTTTAGGGTTTAGGGTTTAGGGTTTAGGGTTTAGGGTTTAGGGTTTAGGGTTTAGGGTTTAGGGTTATACTTGGGCCCTAAAGCTACTATATGGGAACCCCTTTAAGGCCCAAGTATATACTATATAGGTACATGGACCCTCAGGGCAGATTATAATCAGGGCACCCTTTTTTGGGGTTGGTAACTTCATAAGGGAACCGTTAAACCCCAAAAAAGGGTCCCTAAACCCTAAACCCTAAACCCTAAACCCTAAACCCTAAACCCTAAACCCAAAAAAGGGAAAAGGGCACCTCTGGGCTACCAAGCAACTGTCCAGCCTCCCATGAGCTCATTGCTGATCCACTGCGTCACATCCTGAGATTTTCGACTTAGGTGTACAAGGGAGTTTAGGGTTTAGGGTTTAGGGTTTAGGGTTTAGGGTTTAGGGTTTAGGGTTCAACCCTAAACCCTAAACCCTAAACCCTAAACCCTAGACCCTAAACCCTAAACCCCAAAGGTGCCCCTAGCGCTGCGCAGTCCTGAATCTCCAAGTAGTAGATGTTCCCCTGATTGTCGGAGGTGGCGCCCACAAGCCACGGGTTGTGATCCTTGGGATCTGCTGAGGGGGCTTAAAAGTTTAGGGTTTAAGGGTTTAAGGGGCTCAGATTTTCGGGGTCTAATTCAGGGTTTAAGGACTTCTGGGTTTCAGGGTTTAAGGGTTTAGGGGCTAGTGACTTGTTCGAGTGTTGGCGGAGGGAACCACACAGAATGGGTTCAGGAAATAGTCCCTTCAAAACGCCTGAACCCTAAACCCTACCCTAAACCTGACAACCCTTAAAAACGCACCCCTAAACTTAGCCCTAAACCCTCAACCCTAGCCTCTACACCCCTAAACCCCAACCTCTACACCCCCAAGCCCCAAACAATAGCAGCCGAGGAGTCATCCTCAGCAAGCCTCTGTGTGGTGTGCGTTCCATCCGCCTCAAACCAAGTCAGAAAGATGGGCTTGCCCACAAGGTTGTTTCCATACTCCTGCCACATGACCTCAGACTTGGGATGTTCCCCGCTTGTTTAGGGTTTAGGGTTTAGGGTTTATACTTACAGTCCTTAATAGGGATAATACCCACGATTATAATCCCTATTCAGAACTGTTAGTATAAGGCGGAACCTCCCAACCTCAGACTTCAGTCTATATGGGGGTTTCCGAAAATGCAGGGGAGCACCCTTTTTATTGGGGAGGGGGGTCCCTGTAAGAGGATTCTATTCTATTTGGGTTAGAAAAGGGGTACCCGTTGTTGGGAACTACCCATATGCGTCCCTCACTCGCGGTATCCCCCCTGACAGGAGTCATCTGGAACCCGAAGCCCTACACCCTAAATGAACACAGGGAAAACCCTAAACCCGAAAGCCCTAAACCTCATTCCACAACCCAGACTGTCAACCGTAGGGGGAGTGGAGTGGCGGGGGGGAACCCTAAACCCACAACCCATAACCCAAACAGAACCACGGGGGGCAGGGGATACCACGGGGGCGGGGAGGGGGGGGGGGGGTGCATGAATGCTGGATATAGGAAGGGCTAGGGCTTGAGGGTCACACAGGTTCCCTAAGCCTGAAGCCCGAAGAGTGTAGTTTGCAGTGTTGGGTTGTGGGTAGGGGGTTTAGGGTTTAGGGTTTACGGTTTAGGGTTGAGGGTTTCTTCTGACGCCCGAAATCCCTTAGTCAGAAATCGCTAAAGCACATGAGCTGAGGGACGCCTTCAGCTCCATCCGATCTGCGAACCTGATGGAACAGCTCGTTCCGCCCGTAGGTAGTGCCGCGGTCATAGGGGCCGCGGCTCCTGAAGCGTAAAGTCCAAAATCTTGAAGCTGCTACCAGTACCGGTCGTACCCCTTAACCCTCTGCAATCCTCTAAACCCCGTGTTAATGAAACCGCTAAACCTCTGAACCCTTAGAACCCCTGAAGCCCTTAGAACCCCTAAGACCCCTAAAACCCTCTAAAACCCAAAGACCCTGAACCTTAAACTCCTGAAGCCCTACAACCCCAATATCAAACCCCCAAACCCTAAACCCCTAAATCTTAAACCCTAAAAACCTCTAAAAGCCTCTAGAACCCCTAAAAACCCCCCAAAATTAAACCCCTAAACCTAAATCCCTGAATATTAAACCCTTAAACCCTCTAAAACCCGAACACCCTCCCCCTGAACCGGTCCTGGCAGCATCATCTCGAGGTGCTTTCGGCACGTCGTGGCTGGTTTCGGTGATCCGGAAGCCGCCACCTGCTCGGGCTTTTGGCTGCGGAGCTGCTTAAGGGTAGGGTTTAGGGTTTAGGGTTTAGGGTTTAGGGTTTAGGGTTTAGGGTTTAGGGTTTAGGGTTTAGGGTTTAGGGTTTAGGGTTTAGGGTTTAGGGTTTAGGGTTTAGGGTTTAGGGTTTAGGGTTTAGGGTTTAGGGTTTAGGGCTTACAGGGTTTTAGGGCCTCAGGGGTTTGCGACACCCCTCGCCTTGCGCAAGTATGGCTTCTGCTCCAGCTGCAGCTGCACAGAGAGTGGCACAAAGCAAGGCCCGCATCACTGCTCTCAGGCAAGGGCCAGACATTCTAGGTGAGTTAGGAAACATGCCGGTTTCTAGGCTGCCCAGTAACCTAGGCTTAAAAAGGGTGCCCTTTTTTGCTTAAAGGGGTTTATAAGGGAACCTAAACCCCCCAAAAAGGGAATCAGGGTACTACTGGGCATCCTAGGTTTAGGGTTTTAGGGGTTCAGGGTTTTAGCAAGGTTAGGTCGCTTTTCGGAGTGGGGATGGGCATGCGTGCCTGTATGTTTCCGGGACCTGCTATAAGAGAACATAAGTCGCCATACGATCAACTCAAAAACCCGCAGAGATTGCTTCATGTGGGGACCGTATACCCTGAGGTTGATGTCCAAAGCTTGAGCACAATGCCCCCTGTTCGGACAACATAGCAGATGCCAAGCCCTCTTGAACTTGTCAGATTCACCCGAAAATCCGAAACCCCTGAACCCCTAAACCCCTCGACCCCTAAACCCCTAAACCCCTAAGCCCCTAAACCCCTAAATTCCTAAACCCCTAACCCCTAAACCCCTAAACCCTAACCCCCAACCCTAAACTCTAAACCCCTAAACTCCTAAATCCCTAAGCTATAGCCCTAAGCCCTAAACCCTAAACCCTAAACCCTGCACCCTAAAACCCTAAAACTTAAAACCCCTGTCGTCTGATCCTGTACGGGACCCACGGCGACGCTCAACTCTCGACTCCTTGGCTTGCTGTTGAGATTATTACCACTACAAGCAGCAGTGTTTAGGGTTTAGGGCTCAGGGTTTAGGGTTGAAGAGGTTAGGGTTTAGGGTTTGGGGATTAGGGTTTAGGGGTCTCGGGTATAGGGTTTAGGGGAAGTTTGCGAAGCTCAAAGCGGCAACAAGTAGTGAACACATTGGCAGAGGAGGGTGCTTGGCTGCACTTAGGAGGGTAGCTATAAATTAAATTTTTAGCTGCCTTGTTAAGAAACCCAATAAGCCCAAACAGGCGAAAGATCTAAAGTCACAGTAAAGCACCACAAAGGGTGGAGGGGATCATTTCCGCAGAGCAGGTCTGCCTGGAGCAACTTAGCACAGTGGCCACTGTTGCTACAGCCAGACATGGCTGCGAACCTAAACCCTAAACCCTAAACCCCAAACCCCAAACCCTAAACCCTAAACCATAAACCCTAAACCCTAAACCCCAAACCCTAAACCCTAACCCTAAACCCCAAACCCTAAACCCCAAACCCAAAACCAAGGCGCCTGTGCGCCGGGCTTGAGTTCGCCGGGAACCCGCAGCACCTCAGATTGCAGTCAAGGCCTAGCTCCGGATCCTAAACCCTACAGGGTTTAGGGTTTAGGGTTTAGGGTTTAGGGTTTAGGGTTTAGGGTTCCTGTGGTAGATCTTCGAAAGAACGCAAGCCCCTTAAGACTTGAAGCGGTGACTCGTGCAGAGGTGCAACCTCGAAATCCCAAAGGCCCAGCTACTATATAAGGCCTCACAACTCTGTTCGAAAGGTGCCTGGGGGGGGGGGGGGGTCGGATTGCTGGACCTAGTAACTCTAAACTTACAGTGTGACATGTTGGGTGTCCTCGATGCCAGGTCGCCTGCAGGTTCGACGTGCCAGCAGCAAGCGCGCTCAGCGCCTGAGTGAGTGAGAGAGAGAGAGAGCGAGAGAGAGAAAGAGAGAGAGAGAGAGAGAAAAACAAAGAAAGAGAGAGTGAGTGAGAGGGAGCGAGGGAGCGAGACAGAGAGAGAGAGAGAGAGGAGAGTGAGAGAGTGAGTGAGAGAGAGAGAGAGAGTGAGCGAGAGGGAGCCAGGGAGCGAGACAGAGAGAGCGAGAGCGAGAGCGAGAGCGAGTGGGAGTGCGAGAGCGAGGGGAGAGGGAGAGGGAGAGGGAGAGGGACAGGGCCGGCGCCACAAGTCCTCAACTACATGCGCAAAGGAACGCTAGTCTTCGGGGTGCTGGGTCGAGAGTGCTGAAGTTTAGAGGATTCCCCCTGGAAACTCCAAACGAAGTTTTCCTTTGTGGGGGTTATAGGATCTAAGGGCCTAGGGAGGTTTGTTTTAGGGTTAGGGCCGAGGTTCTACTCGGATGACCGGGGAACTTAGCATGAGTAGGTACAAATTAGACTTGGCCTAACCCCAACCACAAAAACTGTATCCCTAGGCCCTAGACCCTTAACCCCTTAAGGTTACACGGCGCACCAACGGAAACCCTACAACATGGGTGGGAAAACGCAGACCGCGAGTACATTAACCACCAAAGTCCTGAAGCCCTAAAGGCCCTAACCCCCCGCCCCCCCCCCCCCCCAAAAAAAAAAAAAAAAAAATACAAAAACAAAGGAAAACACCGTACATATAAAAGCCCAAATACAATCCCTAAACCTCAGGCCCTAGAACAAAGCCCCCCCCCCCCACCCCAAAACAAACAAAAAAACTGAAAGAAACACTTTTTTCCGAGGCATCCACCATGTCCACGGCACAGCGCCGGCGGGGCGCGACAGAGCCGAGAAGCTCACGGTTGCTTCCAGAGTTTGGGGTATAGGGTTTAGCCAGGGTAATCCTAAACCCTACACCCTAAACCCTGTTCAAGCAACAGGGCTTAGGGTTTAGGGTTGGACAGGGTTTAGGAAGTTTAGGATCTATATAGGGCTTCATGGCGATTCAGGGCTGTGGGCTAGGATGTAGGATGCTTGGGGCGTAAGGCTGTTGAGTGTAGGGTTTGTTAAGCTGCTCAAGTTTAGGGCCCACTTAACCTGTAGAGGTTAGGGCCAAGGGCCGTTGAGGGTTGAGGGACAGCACCGGGTGCTCTGCTGCAGCTTCGTAACCGCCAAGTGAAGACCGGAACTCCCTGAACCCTCAACCCTAAACCCAAAAGCCCGTACTTTTCGTGCCGGAAGGTGTCTGAATCTTACAACACTCTGAAAGAAAGGCTCTTTGGCTGTAGACTCTCTAAACTCAAAATCCTACCCCAAAATCCAAAACTACTCCTAAGCCCTAAACCCTAGCCCTAAACCAGTCACTCCAAAAGCAACATGGGATTCGGGTTTTGGGAATAGGGTTTCTCTCGCGTAACTGAAATCCGGCGTGGAGGGGTCTGGACAGTGCTCAATGACTATGGTTCAAGGCTAAATTTCGGGGTTTAGGGTTTAGCGCTTAGGGTAATCTCATGCAGGAGATACAGGGCATAGGGCTCCTAAACAACACGGGCTTCCTAGCCTATGGGTTTGCGCCACGGCCATGCGTTCGCCAACACCCAGGGGCGGAGCCCAACCGTTGGGCGCAGCAAGGACACACCTGGGTTTAGGGTTGAGCGTCTAGGGTTAAAGATAAGTTTAGGGTTTAGGGTTTAGGGTTTAAGGGCTTGTGGCTGGAGGGTGGAAGCACCGTATGGAGGCTTGAGACCAACGTTTTGGATATCTACAGACCCTCAGCCAATCTCATGTTTCTCATTTCCCGAGATGCCCAACAAGAAATTCCAGGGTCTAACCCGATGAACGCCCTTTTT